GAAATACCCTAGAATTTGGGGTGTTTTATGAAAATAACCCGAAATTTTTGGGGTGTTTTGTGAGAATAACTCAAAAATAATAAGCATAAACGATTATCTATTTGAACCATATTTATGTATCCTTAGACGTCCAGCCATCAACACCTTAACTACTTAGAGCATATTTGGATCCTGTGGTTCAGAGGCCAGCTATGTGGGATCATCTCCGCAACACCTCTTAGTTCTCCACTTTAACAACCCGTAAAATATTCCATTCAACACCCTAAGTGCTTAAAGCATGTTTGGCAACACCTCTTAGCTCATTCGATAATCTAAGGCCCTGTTTGGCAAAGGGTTAATGGAGAGGTGTTAAAGAGAAGGATTAATGTACTTAGCACATTTGATAATCCGAAGGACTAAATTATTAACTTGTTAAATAAGTTTTATTTTAACCATTATGATCAGTTTTAGTGTTTGGGAATAACAATGATTTTGACTATTTTCTTTATAATTAGAAGGGTTAACTCTTATTCCATCTAAATAGGAGTATTAGTAAACCCCTCATTTTGAGGGGTTAACTCATTTTAACCCCTCTAGAGGGGTTAACTTAACCCTTCTATATTTTTTATGTTTGGCAAATTATGGAGGGTTAACTCACTTTAACCCTTATATAGATTTGTTGTGTTTGGCAGGTTAAGAAGGGGTTAAGTCTCCTTAACCCCTCACTTAACCCTTTGCCAAACGGTACCTAAGTGAACTATAAACAAAAAAGTTTAGTAAATTTAATGAATTATAATATATTCCCAATAGTAGAGTGTTTAGTAAATGAATGATTTATAAGTTATCATTGTTATCAAAATGAACAAAAAACATTTAATGAGACTGGAGAGACATAAACTAGGCTTGGAATTTTGTGAAATAGTAATGAATATATTAGTCTTTTACTTGATCAAATCTTGTGGGCTATAGGCAAAAAAAATAGAATATCCTAGTTTATTTTTCGATGGTTTATAACCCAAAAATAATACATTTGCATCACGCTTTAGAGCCATCTCGAAGCACGTGGCAAACCTAAATTCCTGTTACTAAACAATAACCATAGTACCACTAACATTTTTTTAGGATAGTTTTTTCCTTTTAAAAAACTAAGCTAGCTAGGCTACACTCATCTAACATTGTTGTTTGCAGGTGGAGCCTTAAATGAATTTGAAACTTCTACTTACCTAGCATCCCCTACTCTCGTGCAAACCGCTATCTATCTTTTCGCTAAACTAGCTTTTTTTAATTAAACTAGTTAGATTGCACGTGCAATGCACGTGGTAAAAAAATATTTTAAAATTTTAACTTTTTTAGGGATTTGATAAAAATTTATTGAATTTAAACCATGTAGCAAACATATAGATAGATGATAAAAATTCACAGTGTTTGAATAATAAAATTACATTTATGGATCAATTGGACGATAATAGAGTTTTTGAATCCCTAACAATAGAAACCATGAAGAATTGTATACAAGAATTTTATTTGATATACAAAATTGAG